GGGAGGAGGAGGAGGAAGGATGCTCCCATGCGCGGGCTGGACCCGGCTCCGAGCCGGGAGAAGAAATCCCGCGGGCCGCTGTGCGGAGCTTCGGCCGGGAGGCAGTTACCCCCGGGTCCCGCGGTGCGCGGGGTCCCAGCGTGGGCCCAGTGTGTGGGCGGGCGGGTCCTTGCCCGGAACCCAGAGCACCTGGCGGGGACGGAGGGTGGTTTGGAGAGGGTGGGTAAGGGGGCTGCTCGGGAGCCTCCTGAGCCCTCCCCATCCACATCTGACAGATGGTTAACTTTGTCGCTGGAGTTGGGGCGACCAGGGGTCTGGGTAGAAGGATGAGGAGAGACACCTTCCGGGTGGGTGTCATCTGGGGCCCCTTTCCTTGGAACTGCTCGCGTGCCCTGCGGTGGCTTCGAGGCTTCCCGATGGACTCTGCCACATCGGGGCCCCGGGCTCTCGATCCCACGGTGGCTCTGGGAGCGTGACCCCGAGAGCTAGGGGACCGGAGGGCACATGGGACCCAGACACAGCCCACCAGGGGGACGACGAGTGACAGAGTCTGGAGCCGCAGCGGGGAAGCCGTGGGCAGCACCCCGACGTCTTAGGCAGGAGCTCCTCGGCATCTCTTTAAAAGCTCTGCAAACTTTCCTCTGCCTTTCGGATCCGGCAGGCCCTCAGCCCGCGGGAAGGCAGTAAAAACGTGACTTGGTGCAAAGCTCCCGGGTAGGTGCTGGCACGCGAGATCGGGAGGCGTGGAACTGGGTAGTGGGGCGCCTGGCCCGGCCCGGCCCTGTTCCTGGGCTCACTACCCTCTGCCCTGCGACCCCCAACCCACTGGCTGTTAGGCGGTCCGCAGCCCTAACGGTGGTCGTGATGTGGTCTACAGGAGGCTGGGAATCCCAGAGGAAACAGCCGTGGGGGAGAAAGGGCAGAGGGTCGGGGGCCTGAGGGGGTCAGCGAGCAGCTGATGGCAGGGAGGAGGAGGGCTCCTTTTCGGCCCGACCTGCCTGCCAGAGCTACTGAAACCTCCTCTCCCAGGGCGGAGCTGAAAGGAAAAACAAACAACGTATTGGGCAATCAGTCCGCCATCGTTTGAGCTTTAAAGAGCCTTTGCCCTGAAAATGGTACCCTGGGGGTCTCGGTGGGGAGATGGGGGAAGCAGTCGTAGGGCCTGGGTTCTGGTTTGCCGCGCCCTGGGTCTTCCCTCCGCGCGCTGCCGCCTTCCCTCCCGGGGCGCTCAGCCCACTGCGGGGAAGCCCGGGCGCTGAAGCCCTGGAGAAAAGGGATTTAGTTTTAAGCCAGTCTCCCATCGATTGGGCCGGTAATTTCTACCCCTGCCCACTCGCAGACACACTCACCTCTACCCTAAAGCATTAAGTTCATTACGCGAGCAATGATCTTAATCTCCAAGCGGAAAACGAGTCCCGGGACCTCGCGGATTGGGGAAACAGTGAATAAAGTCACCTGCTTCACGCACCCGCCCGGCCCGCTCCGCCGGATGGCAGCATGGGGGGGGGGGGTAGTCAGTGCGAAGAGGGGGGGCCCCTTGCTCCACGCGAGGCGTGCTGGAGAGGGGTCAGGAACCATGTGTCCGCTTTTTCCTGGCTGGCGACCTCCCCGAAGGGTGGGTTTGCGCCCGCTCGCTTTCCTTCCCCCCTCCCTTCTGCCTCTCTCCCTAGGCCTCCCTCGCACTTCAGCACCTTCTTCTCCTCCCCTCCTCCAAAGTGGCAAGTTCCCCTTCTCCACCCCGCGTCCAGAGGTTCTGCGCCTCTCGCGGCCGGCAGTCTCCGATCTCTCACAGAAGTCCGCTGGCGCGACGCCTGTCTGCGCCCGCCTGCCTCGCACACCTTTTGGGACAGGGGCGGGAGGGGATCGCCCAGGGAG